AAGAAAATCTACCACAAGGGAGCGGTCAAACAAACATCCACTCTCCATCTTATGATTTGTTTCTCCAGTTCTTCATTCTGCTATGAGTCAGAACTGATCTGAGGGCATCTCACAACAAGAGCATCACAGAGAACATGCTCCCCCATCTCAAAATGTTCTTTTTGAGAAGGACTGTGAGGACAATCCTCTGGAATTTGTCATTCTCGGCATATTAAATCACACAATTGATTCAAAATGGCAAATACCAGTTCATCTCTGCTTCACAATACCGTAAACATCAATTTTCATGCATTCTATTGCATTTTTGATGGGTTTTAATTTCCCTAAAGTTGTACTTCAAACATTCTATGTTCTCTGATTGTTCATGGATGTTGCCACTGTTTGTTTTCATTTGAGTTGGGCCCCTTAAGTCAATAAAGTTCCAGAAAAGCTTTATTCTTTCTATCCACTGCATTGTGGTCAACTTGACCTCGAGGAGAGAGCTCTGCCCTTGTCCGATTTGAGTGCCTTTCAACCTGCAGGGCTCATATTCCAGCACAGCATTTGACAATGCTTTGCTGTGATTCAAAAGGTTTTCAGTGGCTAATTCTTAAAAAATGGACAGCCCATTCCTTCTTTTGAGTCTGTTCGTATTCTGGAAGCTGTTTACAAGTGTTTACCTTGAGTGACACTTTTGGCATTTGAAATCCAGATGGGATAGATTCCAGCATCATAGCAACATGTGAGCCACCACAGTCTGACAAACTGACAGAAGTTATGGCAGAAACTATTAGATCTTCTGAATTTTTTTCTGATGTCAAATTTAAGTACATGGATGTTGCCATTACTAACATATCCTCATTTCCCTTATGACAAATTAAATAATTAGATAGTTCAAGAGCAGGAAGTGCTTTTCATGAGTGAGACACCAGACGAGACTTGGGGAGTATGTAGTACTCAGCTCATTACGATTTATGTAATAAACAACAACCAAAACACCCAAACCAAGATATAATCAACAAATGAAACACAAAAGAAGAGAAAAAGTTCCCTCATTATCCTTTGACTCATCTTGATTTTTCTCAGAAGCCAAGGTCTTTTTTTTAATGTTTAAAATGTATGGTTATTTAAGAGAACCAGTATGATATACCTCAATTTCTGTTAATTAATGAGAATAACACTAATCTGGTTGGTTTGAGAAGGATTAAATAACACATAATGGGTGATTATAAATGTGCATTACCTTTTCATACTATCCCTTCATTTGTCACTAATTTTTCTCAAGAAATTAAACTGAGAGACACCATTGGTCCTGGAGTGCCATCATGATAAGCTGTCATACCTCAAAGTTGACAGTTTCCAAATTGGCTGGGACACGGTATGGATTACTTGCTCTGCTGCTTTTGACAGTCTTGCAGATGCCTCCATTGAAAGAGTTATCGAGGACATCGCCTCTGAACTCTCCTGCCAGAGAGTGAAACCTGGAAACAAGGACATTTTCAAGGGTTGAATAGATGCAGAGAAATCTTTAAAAGTTACCTC